CAGGTCAGGACCAGGACTGACCCGGGTCAGGACCAGGACCAGGACTGACCCAGGTCAGGTCCAGGACCAGGACTGACCCAGGTCAGGTCCAGGACCAGGACTGGCTCAGGTCAGGACCAGGACTGACCCGGGTCAGGTCAGGACCAGGACTGACCCAGGTCAGGACCAGGACTGGCTCAGGTCAGGACCAGGACTGACCCGGGTCAGGTCAGGACCAGGACTGACCCTGTAAGGTGGCCTTGGTCTTCTGCAGGGTACAGATGTGGGTGTTCTGCTGACATCTGTCCACCTCTGACTGGATCAGCTGCTGCTGCTGCTGCTGGAGCTGCAGGTGGAGCGACACAGACAGGGACCTGCAGGAGGAGCAGAGAGGAGGAGGTGCCAGAGTCACGCTCACCTGCTACATCTTTGTGATGTCATCAGGTGATGTCATCAGGTGTAATTAGTACCTGAGCTCCTGAAGCTCCTCCTCCAGCTTCTCTTTGTGTTTCCTCAGACTCTCCCACTGCTCCTGCAGCCTCCTGCTCTCCCTCTGCTGCTCCTCCTGCTGTTGCTGCCTCCTGGTCACCTCCTCCTCTGTGTGGCGCAGCTGCTCATGAACCTCCTGCAGCTCCTTACGTAACGAGGCATGCTGGGAGGAGACCTGAGGATCAGACAGGCTTAAAGATGATTCAGGTCAACACGAGTCACATGATGGAGCCTCCTTCTTACCTCCTCTAACTGCTGTTCTGCTGTGTGCTGCTCCTCCTCCAGGGAGACCAGCTGCGCCTCCTTCTCCTCCACACGTGTCTCCAGTTCTGTCTGTCGCTCCTTCAGCTGAAGAACAACACGAGCGTCAGCCTCCGTCTGAGCTCTGAGCCACAGAAAAACCAAAGAAGAAGAACAAGTTCAGACGAAACAAAACACCAACAAACCTGGATTAAATTATGAGTAATCTGGATTAAAACTTCATTGTTTAGATTAAATGCTGTGTAATCTGGATTGAATGCTGTGTAATCTGGATTGAATGCTGTGTAATCTGGATTGAATGCTGTGTAATCTGGATTGAATGCTGTGTAATCTGGATTAAATGCTGTGTAATCTGGATTAAATGCTGTGTAATCTGGATGTGTGTTCATTCTGGATTATGTGGATTAAGAACGTGGTTGTGCAGTGAACTCACCTGAGGAGGCTGCAGTCTTTGTTCAGAGCTTTAAGGTCTCTCTGCAGAGACATGACCTCTGACCTCACAGTCTTCAGCTGTGATTGGCTGTCAGACAGCTCAGCTTCCAACTGGTAACACATGGTCACAGTGATTACAGTGAGCTGCCCAGGAGCCTCTGAGCAAGGCACAGGGCAGGAGGTTTTACCTGCAGCAGCTGTTTGCTCAGGTCTCTCTTGTCTGAGACCAGAGACGTGTTCAGAGTGGACATCTTGTCCAAAGCATCTCGGGTGTCCTCCACCTCCCGCCTCAGCACCGTCTCAGAGGAGGAGAGCTGCAGGACGCTGTCCCTGCTCTGAGACAGAGACACTGAGTTAAAGCTACAGAAGACACCTGTCTCTGCTCTGAGACAGAGACACTGAGTTAAAGCTACAGAAGACACCTGTCCCTGCTCTGAGACAGAGACACTGAGTTAAAGCTACAGAAGACACCTGTCCCTGCTCTGAGACAGAGACACTGAGTTAAAGCTACAGAAGACACCTGTCCCTGCTCTGAGACAGAGACACTGAGTTAAAGCTACAGAAGACACCTGTCCCTGCTCTGAGACAGAGACACTGAGTTAAAGCTACAGAAGACATCTGTCTCTGCTCTGAGACAGAGACACTGAGTTAAAGCTACAGAAGACACCTGTCCCTGCTCTGAGACAGAGACACTGAGTTAAAGCTACAGAAGACATCTGTCTCTGCTTTGAGACAGAGTCACTGAGTTCAGAGACAATGAGTTAAAGCTACAGAAGACACCTGTCCCTGTCTGAGACAGAGACACTGAGTTAAAGCTACAGAAGACACCTGTCCCTGCTCTGAGACAGAGACACTGAGTTAAAGCTACAGAAGACACCTGTCCCTGCTCTGAGACAGAGACAACAGCAGGAGCCACTGAGTTAAAG